GCACTGAGCCTCGAGGGGATGGAAGCAAAATTCATTTCATTGCTGAAGGGTATTTAATTACATTTCAAAGGCAGGACAGGACAGGAACAGAGAGCTGTTTCTATGCAAATTTACTTCCTCTTTTAAAAAAATCAGAATAACACGAGTTGGAAAGGACCTTTGAAGGTCTTCTAATCCAACCCCCTGTCCCATTTCAGACAAATCACTTCTTAAAAACCTCCATTGTTGGAGCATTGGCAACTTCTGGAGGCAAGGAGTTCCACTGGTTAATTGTTCTCACTATCAGGAAATTTCTATTTAGTTCCAGGTTGCTTCTCTCCTTGATGACTTTCCCTCCATGGCTTCTTGTCCTGCCTTCTGGGTGCTTTGGAGAATAGCTTGACTCCCTCTTCTTTGGGGCAGCCCCTCACATATCAGGACCCTGCTATCCTGTCCCCCCAAGGCCTTCTTTTCATTAAACCAGACACCCCCCAATTCCTGCAACCGTTCTTTATAAATTTTAGCCTCCAGCGCGCTAATAATCTTTGTTGCTCTTCTCTGCACTCACGTTTGACCCCGAAGGAAGGAAAACATCACCGCGCAATCCATGGTGTGGTGCCCACCTTCAATTTCTCTCCACCCCACCTCTCCTCTTTGCAGAAGATCTCCTTCGAAACATGGACCAGCGGGAAGCTTGGGATCGCTTCTACGCCCGGAGGGAGAGAAACGGATCTCCCCGTCCGTTCGACTGGTTCTTTGGCTACAAAGAGATCTCAACGCTTCTCGGCTCTGTTCTTGGGAGACTGACCCCTGGCCGGCTCCGGGTCTTAGACGTCGGCTGCGGCACGTCGTCCTTGGGCTTGGAGCTCTACCGACGCTCGCCCGTCCAACTTCACGTCTCTTGCCTGGACTTTTCCTCCGCAGCCGTTCAGTGTCTTTCTCGGATGCGGCGGGAGAGCCCCCCGCCGTGCCACCCGCTCTCCAAACTGGAATGCTACCTGGGCGACGCCACCGAGCTGTCCCGCCTCTTTCCTTTGGGGTCTTTCCACTTGGTTTTCGACAAAGGGACCTGCGATTCGGTCCTGCGGGGATGCCCGCAGCGAGCGAGACACTTAGTGTCCGAGTGTCTACAAGCCCTGAGGCCAGAAGGATGTCTCGTCCAGATCTCCGACGAGGATCCGGACGCCAGGGTGCCGTTCCTGGAAACGGCCGGCGAGGCCAACATCAGCATCAGGGAGATCGCCAACGTTAGCGGCATCTCGTATTATGCTTACATGCTCAGACCCAAAATGTTCTGAGCCAGTTCCCCAAACACAACAAACCCTCGGAAAGTGAAGTCAAAAGATTCCTTTATTAGGAACGTCGGCAGCCCCGGCAAAAATTTCTCACCGCAGGCTAACAAGTCCGTCTGTCTGGAAGATGAATAGTTGTCTGTCACACCTACTCATTTTCGCCCCTTACCGTT